AAATTTAAAATTTTTTTTCTAAAACATATAAGTCACATCATGCATTGTGAGCAGTACGTAGCTTGGAACTTTCTCATAGGTAGCCGGTAGCCTTACACAAGTCTTTGCCTATGCTGAAAATGAAGACTGTATTAATGGAGAGCTAGTAAATGGAATCGTCTTATTATTAAATATTTCCCATGGGAGAGATTGTCTGGGACAGTGGAAAGGGCCCTGGACTTGAATTTTGAATCTCTCGGCTTAAATTTCTATACTAACCAGTCCCATGAAGCAGATCAAGCTATTTACATTCTCTGAGTTTCAATTTCTTCTTACGTCAAACTGGAATCCTATGACACAAGTCATAAAGATATTCTGAGAAGTAAATAAGTTTCAGTGAATGCACCTAGGATATGGAGTATGTTCAATAAGTACGAAAGGGAAAGAAAAACAAAACCTTAGGATAAAAAAGATCCAGGATAACCAGAATAACCATCTTTAGCGTTTTCCACTATTTCACCAACTGAACGTAGAAATTCAGGAAAGTCAGTTTGAGCATGTGAGAGTTCTAGGCGATGGTTACTGTGACAGACCTAGTACAGCAGCACAGCCCTGAGTGGCGCTCAGTCATGAGTCTTGGGCCTCATCTTAAAGACTGTGAGTAAGTAATCTTACAGAAAGCCTCAGACATCAGTATTTTTAATCACTTCCCAAATGAATGTGATGTTTCAGAATCCTCGTTCTAGAATTAAGAACAACGGAGAACATACCAAATGAGCCATCAGACTACCAAGTGAAGACCAGGCCTGGAACCACTTAACCAGCTACCAGGAGTGCCGCGCTGATGCTGCATAGCGGTCAGTTAATACCTAGGACCTGTGAGTCCGTAGATGAGCTACTTCACCGTGTAAGAGTCAGGCTCTGGAATCACATTTCCAGGTTCCCATCTGGACTCAACCATTTTCCACCTGCGTAAACTCGGCTCCTGACATAACACCCCTGAGTCTACTTCCTCATCTCTAAAATGAAGGATGTCATAAGATTTAAGTGAGATCATCTGGTGAAGTGCTTAGTACAGCACTGGTAAAAATAACCACCAGATGAATATTAACGGCTTAACTATCCTGAACTCATCAGACACTTGAACAACTGTGCCTCTACACACGCTGTTTCCCACACTCCTCGGCTGAGCAGACTCCTCCTCCTCCTCCCTCAAGATAGAAGATCCTGTGTCAGAGTGCTGCTCTCCGCCCTCTGTGTGTCCATCTCTGCCAGTGAAATCATCCCCATCGTGCAAACCTTCTTGCTATCAGAAGAACGTCCCGAACAACTGCCTGCCAAGTCCTAATTCACCTCCCCTTTTCCTGTCCTCCCTCACACAGACCACGCATGCTTGTCTTAGAGATGTGGTTCTTCCTTACGCCCATCTTTATTTTCCTGCTATTTTCTCTCTAAATACTTCCCCTGGGTGAGCTCTTGCCTTCTCTTATCTTCAGTTTGACATGTTGTTGATGCCAAAATCTACATCTCAAACTCATATTTTCTCCAAAGGCTAACACACATATAGCTATCAGTCTCCCCAAAATAGCCTTCTGTGTGTCTTACAAACACTCCAAATTCAACATGCACAAAATCAGATTATCTCAACTAAGTTTTTTCCTTCAATCATCCCTTTTGTATCACTTTGGAAAACAGTTTGACAGTTCCTAAAAATATCAAACATAGACTTACCATATGATCTTGTAATTGTACTCCTAGGTATTCACCCAGAAGAAATGAAAACAAATGTCTGCACAAAAATGTGTCCACAAATATTCATAGGAGCATTATTCAGAACAGCCAAAAAGTGCAAGCAACCCTCACAGCTGCCGGCTGATGATGGGTAAACAAAATGTGGCAGATCAGAATATTATCCAGCCATAAAATTAATGAAGGGCTGGTACACAGTACAACA